TTTAAAAAATATTGAATTTCTATTAATTTTTATAAGTCTTATATTAATAAAAAAAGCCAAAAATCATTTGAGGTTAAATTGCCTATTTATTTTATTCTTTGTTCGTTCTTTATGGATTTTAAAGAAAATTTCTTAGATTTTGGTGAAATAGTTAAGGTTTAGGTTTATTTGGGTTTGTCTTTATAGTTATCTTTGAAATTTTATTATTTTAGATATAATCCTGACCTTTTGTTATACTACTTATTGCCTCCAACCTTCTTACTATGAGATAATATATGCTAACATATATTCTAAAAAGCCATAAATTTAGAGATAAGAAATTCTTTCCAATGCTAGTGATAAGGTGAAATTCAAAAATAAATCAAAATTATTGTAAAATTTTAGATAATGAATTGGATTACTTCTTATAAGTTCATACAATAATATGTAACCAGAACATACTTATTCAAGCGGCAATATTCAATTATTATAAGTTATTTTATTATAAATTTCTTACTAATGTTCTTAATTACATATTTCATTATTTAACATAGTATCTAAATTCTTTATTTTTTGGAATAGTAACAATGACTATTGTAGAATCTGGTGAGATAAGCGTATATAGATGTAAAAGCATCATCCTTCTAGTAATAGCTTATGGTGGTTTTTATGAATTCTCTTTTTAAATTTGATTGCCAAGATAAATTAAAAAATTAATAGTATGAATTCTAAATCTTTAGTATTCTAAATTTTAGATGAATTTGATTTCTTATAAAATTATGATATGTTCATAATTTAATCTGAATAAAGTTTAAAAGCATTTAAGATCCACATATGCAGATACTTATACTTCAATAAGTGAAAAATATTTAGGAGACTCATCAGAGAAATTAGATAGTGTAACAAAAAAAAAAAATATTTAAATAGCGTCGTTACAATCTTAAATCTAACTATAATTAAATTAAAAATTTACAAATTTTTTCAAGAATGAAATTTTTAACAGTTCGAAGAAAAGTGGTAAATGGTTCTAAAAAGACATTAGAGACTCGATATTACTAAAATATAAGAACTCCTAATTTTTCTTAAAAATTAAAGAAATAAAAACTTTTATATATGATTCATAATTAGATTGAAAAGCAATAAGAGATATGAGTGTATTCAACTTTATTATCAAATTTAAATTAAGTGAGTTATTACTTAAAAAAATCATTTAATAATAAACTTGGGAGCACAACATTTTCTGCTTTTGCAAAATTTATGTAATTCTGTATAACAATATAAATAAAAATTATTTTAGGACCAAAAAGAGAAATATAAGATGTTTGAAAAAATGAATTAGCATTTAAAAGACTGGATAAATTTTGTATAAGGAGCAAATATAAAATGACAACAAGTATTGAGAATATTTGATTCATAATATAACCCATAAATATCATGATGATCTAATGACAGGAATATCAAATATCACTTAGGTACAGGTA